CACACGCTACCCGCCCTAAACTTACCCATGAATTTTGAGATTACATCCAATAAAACCCCCACCACCTACAAAAACTCAACAAAATATGACCCCCCCCCCCGTTGGTACTTGTCGCAACATAGGATTGACCCTTGGGGGGGCGCGGTATAGTGGCAAATGGTGGCACTTAAAATGTACCCGGGTCACGCCTGCAATCGCAGGTCGACCCACCACGTGCTAAGAACTTTTCCTCGACGGACTGAATCGTAGGGTATAGACCTGCGACAAGGAGGCGCAGGATGCAGCCTGAGACCTAGGCCGGCCTTTGCGAGGTGCTAGACCTGAGCTGTTTCCAAATGGTACTGCGATTCTGAAAGAGTGGATGGGCGCGGCGTATCCTAAGAAAGGACTAGACCAGGCGGAACGATTCTTCTGGTTTGCTTTCGATACTCAACGTGCAGTTTGCAATTCTGAAGGGAAGTTACGCACATCGCGTATACTAAAGAGTGATTGCTGACAAGATCAGCCAGTTCATCCTCTTGTCCTTAGAATCTCCTTGGGCTGAGCCTTCTAGTCTTTCACGGCTGTATCTACGTATTCAAATTCAAAATACGCTTCCATGGCTGTCCAGAACTGCACAAACTCGCTTTCAAATGCTGCTATGATTCTCAATGGGAGTGAGACGCGTGGCGTATCCCAGGAGTGGTCAGAGCACAACTACGGTGGTAAGTTTCAGAAATCCCAAGCCTGAGCTGAAAAGCACCGACTGTGTAACACATGCTTGAAAACGATCACACCCCCCTGGAAGAGCAGGACTTTTAACTAATTTCTTCGGTTTATTTTTTATCAATTAATTAATTAATTAATTAATTATCTATTTGCTGTTGCACTCAAGGCGCGCCTAAGAGTGCAATAGTAAATAAATAAATAAGTTGAGGTGGGAAAGCCTTCTTATAGCCCCAAAATCAGTTGGCCATGTAACCCGTTTTGACAGAGACCGAAATTTGTTTTCACAAATTTCAATAATTTTTTCACAAATTTCAATATCACAATATTACATTTGCGCCATACAAATAGTAGTTCAAAAATCTTTGCAAAAACAAATTGATTGAACATGAAGTTCGAAGTGTTGAATATGTTGAATCTCATAGAGCGCCTGTTGGCAGCAATTACGAAGAGGGAGAAGCAAAAATGGAGGGGAAAAAACTGTTCTGATCAAGTCTGTTTTAAAGGAGGCTTTACGATAAAGTTGAAGGACGAAAAAGGGGAAAGTTGCCCAGTGGGAGGACAGGCGATTCCCTGAGGGTGCAGACCGACACACAATTCGCAGCGAAGGATAAGGCGGTGGTATAAATAGCGTTGCCCTCCCCGAGAGGCTACCGGCGCGACACGCCCACCGAGTGGCTCACCACTCGCAGCAGGTCTCTAGCCGTTTAACAGAGAGAGAGAGAGAGAGAGAGAGAGTTGACGAGGGCAGCACGCGATGAGAGTCGTACAGTTGGCAAGTTCGATGGGAGCTAGAAAGAGGGTCCCATTTATTGGGCACCGAGCAGTTTTTCATGGTTTTTTCCTTTATCTCGGCATCACTGACCACCTCTACCGTAATTCTAATAGGCCGCTTTCTTAATCGCAAACTCCGCCCCTGCATCAGACAGATGCGCCATCATCGTCTCCACTCGAGTTCTGTATATATTCTTATGATGCACCAAGCCAACACAACAACTTAAGGAACTGAGATAGCCAGAAAAATTTTATGTTCGACAGCCAACAGTTGGTCGTTTGACCGGCAGGTAAACCAATTGATAAAGCCTCCTGGGAAGTGATCCCGGTTACAGCTTGAATCCACCACCACAAGGGAAAATTTTAAAGCCACCTTTTCCTCCCAAATCTACTCCACGGGCTTCAATATCTTTCTCTTCAAACTAGCGGGGAAATTTATCCTTCTTTCCAATAAATCCCGCTCACTCTCTCAAAACCACGCAGATACCGTTTCGCACAGGCTTGTCGTAGGAAAACAGCTTTAGCGCGAGGTTAGGGAACCCTTCAAACGCTTAAACAGGACGCTATCCATTCCCTCAGTTTAAAAATGGAAGCCGGGACTGGTGCAGTGCCACGAGAGTACCGTTGATCGTTTCAATGTTAGTGGGACCAAAACTCGCCAGCCAGGCAATCTTTCACCAGGGTTGGTCTGATTGGGCGCCACGGAGACTGGTTCTTGACACCCCGAAAACTCTAGTTTTTTTGGCTCTCATATTTTTGGCGCTCGTCCTCAAAAAAGTATAATTGGTCAGCTGACCTCCTACCCCTCTAGGTCGCTATAAAGGATGAATTCACAGTTAAAGGTGCTCAGTTATGAAGGTAAGTTAAGCGCTCGATGTACTTCGAGGCGGTTGATCAGCCTTGAAGTTTTTACGTGCATGAGAAAATTTTGTTTAATTAAATAAGGGGGAGAGGGAGGATCAATATTGTTCAATGATCAAATCTAGGAGAAAGCATTCGTCTGTAAAGAACTTCTTAGACGCCATTGTTTGATAAGAATTCTGCTCCGGCAGCTTTGTGAATCATCTGTTCGTTCTATTTGACTCATCACACACACAAAACTGGGCTATATTTGGCGCTTTTCACTGCTCACTACTGTAAAATGCCATTTGTACAAGCGCCACAGACCGGCCCATTTATGGCATGAATCATAGTTTGTTCATATAGATTAGTTGATTGATATAATCAACAGGGTCTATTCCAGTTAGGGGGGGGCATCATGATGCAGTTTCTCGGCGAACTAGTGTGAACTCGAACATTCCAGCTTTTCACGCATGTCAAGTGACTGCCCTCACCCCCACCCCCTAGACTGGCTACACTCCCCTGGCTCGGAGTTACCCTAGCTTTCTGGAAAAACTGCATCATGATGCCCCCCCTAACTGGAATAGACCAGTCAACATATCAAGATCCTTTGCACTTTTCGGTTGCAGCTACCTGACATGGGCCACTTTTCTCCGTATCCAAAATTGAGCCTACGGACGCCAAACCTTTGCAGATTGGTTCAATCTTGGAAGCGACACATGCAAACAGACGTGGTGCAGAGGGCGGGGCGTGACCATGTTTTCCAGAAATAGCGGCCGAATGTACGTGACCGTGTGCTAAAGGGCAAAGATTTTCTGCAATGCACAGCTCTCGCGGCATAGAGCGACGAATCACACAAACACGTTGTTTATAGTGCATTCTGAAGAATTGACGGCACCGTCGCGATGCGACGTTGGAAATGAACGTGGTCTTTGACGTTCAGCGCCCGTTTTTTTTACCCCTCAGTCATCCCGTGAACGCGTAGAAATTCCGTTGCAATGAGGGAGGCATTCTGCAGAGTACGACAAGGGGAGTAGAAAAGTACGATGTGTGTGGGTTGAAAAAGAAAAGAGAACTCCGCGACGATACAATCAAGAATCATATGGGCAATTAGGCAAGAGTGAGTGGCATGATTCACATGAGACGTCGTAAGTGCACTCATTCGGAAGTACCGTACTCCGCTAGGTATTATAGCGAGGGAGTAGCACAAACATCAGAGTAAGGATAGCTGTAATTATGGCTAAAGGGCAATGGATCTTTGCTGATATGTTTTTACGAGGTGCGTCGCGCACTCGACTTCCGCTTGAAATTGCAGAAGCGATTGTAAGTAAGGGTCTACACAACGGTTTGCGAGGGTACTAGCCCACAGCTCAAACCCTATTGCAATTTTTGATGACTTTTGGCACAGAGTGGATACCTCCGGTAAGTCAAACGCAAGCCATAACTAGGGGCGGCCTGATAGTCAGGCTTCTTCAAAAGCGTGTAAAGGAGACTTCAAGGGGCCTACTTCATGGAGCAGATGAGCAATGGGAGATCAAGTGGTACAGGAGGCACCCAGCTCATGTTGAACGCTTCAAGCCAATTGGGTACCAATCGGCTGTCTCAGAGATCCAAATGCCGACGAAGTACGGCGTGGCCAGACTTTCGGCTACATCTTAGGGCATAGTAGGGTTCAAAGGCTAAAATCTCTTTGGCAGATTAGATACTGTAAGGTGCACAAGCGTGATTGGGCACCTTCAGTTTCTCATACTGAATATTAACAATGAACTTGGGAGGGATAGGCCACTTTATACACAGTGGTGGACGAAAAAAGGAAGCCCTTTGTATGGGGTCAAATCCAGTTGGTATACGTTGCGCGGAGGCGGTTGGTTGTTTTGGAAGCAATGGAATAACGATGTTTATGGTAAACTAAACAGGTCCATGGTTTTCTTCAAATGTGATTGGATATGTGAAGCGTCGCTATCGCGCTTGGATGGATTAAGACGCGCTTAAGGATGCTTAGGGCGTCTCGTGTTTACGTGGCCCAAACTTTCCATGTTTTTCGTGCGGAGGTTTCTGATCGTGTCCAGGGTATATTGGAGGTAGAGGTGGAGATGCTCCAGGTTAAATGTCCAGTTAGCATTTAATAAAGTTGGTCACGTAGGCGTTAAAAGTCGAGGCACCAAAGAGTCTTCTTTTTTTACCACCCCTGTACAGCTCAATAAGGAGGCCGCTCTGAGAACTTCATGCCCTTGTCCACCCACATTCCGCCGTTCCTTCTAAGCTGTCATAGTCTTTAGATGACTTAGCGCATGAAAGTAGCACTCAGAGATAATCCTTACCTGTCTTCAGCCCATGTCAGTGCCCGCTCTCATTTCGTAGTTACGCATCGTTCTATTTGACTTGGTGAGTGAACATCAAAGATCGCACTGTTTTTATTGCAGAAATAAATTGAATAAATAATTTATAAGGGTTACAGTAGGACTTAAATTTATTACGTTGCGTGGTGCCCTTCAACTAAAATAGTAACCTTTATTTACGATGCTCTCTGAACTATACTTTTTCCATTTAAGGTTAGCCAGGGTGATTTTACATAGAAAATTACCTACCATACTTCCTAGAAGTTTTTTGTTTTGTTGCGCTGGAACTAATGACTGACATTTCAGAGTACTTCGTCCCGTACCGGACTCGAAGGACGAAGTATGTCTTTGGGTGCAATGACGGTAATGTCATATGACATTTGGAAAGCGAAATGTGCTGCCGAAAAGAAACGTCTTGAAGCGGAAGGTAAAGGAAATGGTGATGCCGTAAAACTCGACGATGATCAGCAATTGAGCAGTTCACCTCCGGCACGTAAACGTGCGCATACGTTTGTCGCTAGGGTGAGTAAAAACGCTACTTTGATACAAACGAAATCATACACGGGAGGGACACGAACTTATCGGCAGACTATTGAAATCCTAAGCCATCTGTAACATTTGCGGCGCTCATGTCGTTGGGGAGGGGGAGGTGGTGTGGGGAGGAATGGGTGAGGGACATTTAAATGGGTCAGCCAATTATAATACTAGCGACTTAGCCTAAGGGAGAGGAAGGGATGTGAGCAATTTCTTGTCTTTCTGGAGTTTCTCCTCTATCCTAGGCTCAGTCCTACTTTGCTGATTCTGAATGCCCTTTTTTGAAATGTCTCCTTCCCCCTAAAACCATGAGCGCCGAACAAACTATCAATCTCATGAGAGTGCGCCATTCATCCAATCTTCATTCATATTTGGCGCGCTTTGAGCCATTTTTTGGCCAATGCAGTGACCTTCGGTAGGCAAATAAAGCTCAGTCAATTAAATCCGTTCTCTTGACCTATCCTGTTTGAGCGACCTACCGCTTAGGGGCAAATCACCGCACATTATTCGAGCTTGAACTACCTTAGGACTTCGCACTCTGGCAGCAGCTCTATCTTGGCCCTGGCTTCTCCTCTACCCCTGACTCCGACTTGTGAAGAGTTTCTTGGTCTTGGAGGTGGTTTGATTTTTTATGTCTTGCAGAAAAGGAGCGCAGACGTTCTTTAGTCACGGAATTAATGAAGGGATGCACAGAAAAAAGAGGTTCAATAATCACCTGAATTTATCGTAGTCGGTCTGATTCAGAGTTATGCAAGGAATGGCGTTTCACTAGACCACAGCGAGAATCAATCTGTCACACTGTTTTCCCCGATAACCGTTTTTTATGTTTGTTGTTGTTTCGTTGAATTGAGTGCTATCTAGAAAAGGGTTCGGTCTTTTGTCGTCTCAATTAGCCAAAGAAACAGATTTGGTCCACAAAGAGGAGGTGCTTGGTTTTTCTGCACAGTTCAAAGTCTTCTGTAAAAGGCCCGCAG